CTTTCAGATCTGGGCTTCTCATTGTCTTTTTAAATCTGGTAACATTACCTTTCTAGCTAATGGAAATTTCTTCAAGAATCGCGTTTAGTAGTGGGAGTTCAGATGTTTGCCTGTGCCTTTATTGTGTTTTTAAATGAGAAATTAGGAGCAGCTGCATGTAACATAACTCACTAGATGACATTTTAAATTAGACTTTGATTCTTCCCCCCCTTTTATAGCAAACAGTATTGTGCCACCCTATTCATTTAAAAAAGAAAATCAAATTGTAAACTTAAGATTACAGGTTCATTCGTTTATTTAACAGAAAGTATCTCTAAGATGTTAAAACTCAGCGAGGAACAAAAAAGAACTTTGCATTAATTTAAGGTGATGATTTGAACTCTTGAGTTTCTTGGAATCATTCCCTATACAGGCTGAATATTTTATACTGTATTTATAAGTTTAAGGCACATTTCACTATAGTATGTAACATTTTAAATTAAGAATATAAGTTTTGCGAGCTTAAAACCCAGCAACCTAATTGTGGCTTCAATATACAGCTACTGAGAATCTGACTTAATTTTTTACAATTTATTACTTTATCTGTGATGATTGTGTACTAGGAACCATAATATAACCTAAGTAAAAATAGTAAGTTTGGTAAAATTTTAAGGGAGTTGAATCGGACATTCCACTACATCTTGCTTTTCAGGTTAACTTACATGCAAAAATGAAGCTTTGGAAAGAAAGTAGGTCACTCTTTTATCCTCCAAATTACTCTAAACTGACTTGTTACAATCAATTTAGTTTAATACTGGAAAACAAATAATTTTAAATGTATTTTTTAAATTGGGTTTTTATTAAATTAGAACTAAATGTTACATTGTCAGTGATGGAAATTACTTTAATGACTTTGTTGATGAAGCATGCTATTCGGAAAGTAATTTCAGAGGTTGGCCCATGAATAAAATTTTCCATACTCTGGCAAAGTGGATTGGCTAAATTAAAGTTTAAAAAAATATGAGGCAATGTTTTTTCTCCCACTTTCCAAATGATTGGATTTTCCTTTTTCCTTGCTTTTTTGTGAAATTTGAAATGAAATCACTAACCATATGTAATACTGTTATCGACAAGGTAGCAACTATATGAGCACTAAATTTTAAAAAAAATTTTTTAATAATTTTTCAAATATTTCCAGATATAGATGAGTGCAGTGAATCAGTTGTCTGTGGTGATCATGCAGTATGTGAAAATGTGAATGGTGGGTATAACTGCTCCTGCAAGGAAGGTTATCAGACATCCACAGGAAAATCACACTTCACACCTAATGATGGCACTTACTGTCAAGGTAAATTGTACTGTTAAATTTTATGTATTATGAGAGAGTGGGAGAAAATTTTTGCTAACTATGCATCCAACAAGGGATTAATATCCACAATATAGAAGGAACTCAAGCAATTACACAGTAAAAAAACAAATAACCCAATTAAAAAATGGGCAAAGGAACTGGATAGATATTTTTCAAAAGAATGCATACGAATGGCCAACAGGTACATGAAAAAATGCTCGACATCACTAGTCATCAAGGAAATACAAATTAAAACCACACTGAGATATCATCTCACCCCAGTTAGACAGGCTATAATCAAAAAGACAGAGAATAACACATGCTGGTGAGGATGCAGAGAGAAGGGAACACTCCTACACTGTTGGTGGGATGGTAAATTAGTACAACCACTAAGGAAAACAGTATGGAGGTTTCTCGGACAAGTACAGATAGATCTTCCATATGATCCAGCAATCCCTCTTCTGAGTATATACCCAAAGGAATGGAAATCATCATGTCACAGGGATACCTGCACTCCAATGTTGTTCATTGCAGCTCTGTTTACAATAGCCAAGATATGGAATCAACCTAAATGTCCATCAGTGGACGATTGGATAAGGAAAATGTTGTATATATACACCATGGAATACTACTCTGCCATAAAAAAGAATGAAATTCTCCCATTAGCAACAACATGGATGAGCTTGGAGAAACTTATGTTGAGTGAAACAAGAAAAGCACAGAGGGATAAATACCACATGTGCTCACTCACATGTGGGAGCTAAGAGAGAAAGAATGAAGGAAAGAAAGACCACAGTGGTGCATTGGACTTGCAGAGGGAGAGAACATACCTCAGCATACAAAATGGAGTGGGGGAAAGGTGGATGGGAAGGGAGGTCGAGGATAATTGGGTGGGGAACACGGGATATCATTGTAATTTGTGGTAATGGGTATGCTGTCTGTATGGATCTGGCCATATCTTGGGCATTAAGTGGTGACAATCAGCTTTGTATCTCATGAATATTCATAACCAATAAAAAATTATGTATTATCAAAGAACTATATAAAATATGTACTACATAATTGTGAAGTATAAAAGAGCTACACCTTCCCAAAAATGTGCCAGAATTCCTGTATCTTCTATAAAATAAGCTAAAAAGTGGGGGAGGGGTATGGTTGTATTTAATGGAAGATGTAGACATGTTTTATGTAGTTAACATATCCTGGGTCCCTTAAAAATACTTTCTCCCACTTTCTGTAAAATATAGTATATTCCAAAACTGAAAAGAAAGTCCTGTTATCATAATCTATTTTCTTTTTCTACAGAAAATGTGAATGCAAACTGCCATTTAGATAATGCCTGCATTGCTGCAAATATTAATAAAACTTTAACGAAAGTAAGTAGACTAGTTGAGTTAAATATTTTACTTTGACATTTTGGTTTCAGTTAAAGTGCTTTAAATATCACATTTCAGGAAGAGTAGCTAGCAGTTGAACTTCATGTAGAGTTGAAACTGTTTACACATAGAGATCCAAGTACTATGTTTGCATCACAGATAGGATTAATTTGAAAATCCCCAGAGTATTGAAAAAGACTTTTACATATTAAATTTATGTTACTTCCTCATTATTTGGTATACTGAAAAATTCTTTTCCACATGTAAAGAAAATTGATGAATAAAATAATAAAATGTGCTTTGACTCCAGACCCATTCCTTCGTGTTAAGGAGATGTAATTTAATGCAACTAGATTTTGTACTTCAAAGTGAATATTTCAAAGAGCAAATAAAGTAGGACATTCATAAAATTATCATCATGTGATTGAAAATGTGAACTTCAACATGAGTAATCAACTATCAGCGAAAGCAAATTTCCATTTAATCACATTGTAAAGAATTTTCTTTGGCTGATTAAAATCTAATTCAAATTATTAAGTTATAATTTATTACTTAGGATATCAATATTTATAAGTACTAAAGAGCTTAACTCTTAGGGTAGACTCATTGGCTAGGATATAATTCTATATCGAAGAATAAGAAGTATTCTAAAAGCCAATTTTTTAAAATATTATCACTTCAAGCATGCTCTGTTTCTCTTCTAAAGTAACTTCTATCCTTTTTTAAGTTATTTGCTAATCTTTTATAAATAAATTCAGGTTTTAGTGCTGCATGCTATGGTTTAGGTTTATTCTGATATTTATCTATAGAACAAGAAAACCTACCTCAGATTAAATTTAACATACAAGTTTTACTATTGAAAAGCTCCAAAAGAACTCTAATTTTTTTTTTTCTGGACTCATTTTTGCTCAGATTAGACCCATAAAAGAACCTATGGCTTTACTACAAGAAGTCTACAGAAATACTCTGACAGATCTTTCACCAGTGGATATAATTACATATATAGAAATATTAGCTGAATCATCCCCATTACTAGCTTACATGAATAACACTATCTCAGCTAAGGACAGCCTTTCTAATTCAACTCTTACTGTAAGTATATTAAGCATTAACTCAACATAATTGAGCTTTAAATTCTTCTTCGCATCTGTGATTAATTGTAGGATTCCAACATTTTTAAAAGATACTTTTTTTTCCAATAGGAATTTGTAAAAACGTTGAATAATTTTGTTCAAAAGGATACATTTACAGTCTGGGACAAGTTATCTGCAAATCATAGGATAACTCATCTTACAAAACTGATGCACACTGCTGAACAAGCTACCTTAAGGATATCTCAGAACTTGCAAAAGACCACTCAGTTTGATACTAATTCAAGTGACATAGGTAAGAAGAGAAGGCCAATTTTAAAGCTATAGTGTTTCCCAGACAAGCTATTTTCAAAGGGGGAGGGTGGGTATTTAAAATATTGTTGATTTAATCAGTCATAGTTTTATCAATGTAGAAATGAATGGCGATGTATATTACAAGAGAAATATGAATGAAGTACTAGTAAAAAGTATGAATGTGTAAGTACTGCCTCCTTCCTATCATGTTTACCTTTTCCTATTCCTGAACTGTTTTAACAGTTAAATGCTCAGAGTACATTACCCTCTTGTCATTTTGAATCAGTCATCTCATGACTTGTTAGAATCTAGCTTGACTTTACATAAGATCTTTTGGGTGTAGTATATTTAAATTTCTTTTAAGGAATCCTCTGCCTTTTCATAATATGAAGCAATCAACATAGTAAATTAGAATGTTTCTTGCTTCATGCAATTTCCAAGCATTCAGAATCTTGGGTCAAACTGAGGATGCCTATGAAGTTGTTCTGAGTAAACAAACAAGGTACATTTTCTGAAATAATCATTGCATATGTCTTTACTGCATTGAATGGAGATTATATAAAGATATTTCCAAAGAGAAAAGCTGCATATGATTCAGATGGTAAGACTTTAAGAATCTTACGTACAATATGCTAATGAATTTGCAATAAACACATGCAGTTGATTATATTATGTGAATATAGAGCTTTCATGGTTTCCTATAAAAAAGTTTGATGGTTCTATACAGAATATCCATATTTGTACATGAGATTTTCATTCTTATATACATAATTGGGGAGAATTTCAGCTGATAATATCTATGTCCTTCTCTTACCTCTAACCTCTGTAATGTTCTGATATTTTTGAGATTCTAATGAAAATATATACAAAAGGCCTCTGATTTTACTACTACTTTTGCAGCAAAGATGCTATAATTTACATAGAGTTCTTTGAATATTTCTTCCTCAGTAATCCTTCATATTGTTCATCATGAGACTGAATTTTTGATTATCTGAGGAAGAAAAATAGAGGTTTTTTTAAGACAAAGTTATTGTTTAAGCCTAGATTTCACTTTCCATTTGTCATTTCTTAGTCTTTGTACAAAAAACTCTTCAACTAAACTAAAGGCAGCATTTTTTTAAAAAATTGAATCAGAGAATGCTAGTACTAGCAGGCAACTTAATGATTATTTAACTTAAGAGCCTTCTTTATAAATAATGGAATTAAGATGCAAAGTTAACAGATTTGACTCCGTGCACATCGGCAAACAGTACAGAACCAATACTAGAGGGAAGAGAGTTAACACAGAAATCAGCCCTTCCTAAAAAGAAATATTTTTCCTTGTCATCTAAGAAGAGTCAAGCAAGTAGCCTGACACTTGGAAAAATCTGTGCTAATAGTAGAATTTTTGTTGTTATTCCCATATAGGTAAAAATATATTACCTAGGAAAAACACGAATTGTAATATTTTCTTAAAGAATGCATGTATGGTCATAAATACAAATGAAAAATATAAACAAACACATAGTCTCATGTATAGACACTATTTCATAAAAGGATGTGTTTTCTTTAAGTTAAAAATATTCTGCATATTCACTCTCAGAAGAATGTCCTTTTTACTTTTTTACTGCACTGATGTGACTTTTTTTTCTAATCCATCAATATTATTCTCTCCATTCTTGTCATTTTCTATACAAAAGTTAAGAAATAGGTGGTCACAAACAAAGCAAAAGTAACTAAGTCATATTACTATTGAACCCTTGGCTTTTAACCTATCTTATCCTTTTATATCTTATTCTAATTAAGCAAGAATACGTATAATACTTGGGAGGAAAACCAAAGAACATTTTAAATGGTTGAAATTTCAAAGACAATTTAAGTAGTGTTCAGAAGTTGGGAGGAATAAAACATTGAAAATACCTATTATAGTGACAGATGATTAAATTGTCATGGAATTAATCTCTCAAAAAGATTCTGTCTGATTGTATGTTACCTTTGTTATATTTAATGATCACGCATACAAACATTTGAAAGGGACAGTAATATCAGCTCTCGATAAAGCACAGTAAGAAAATGTGTTTTTCTCAAGGTTGGATATTAAAAATAAGGACAAATCTAAAAGACTTTCAAATTCTCTTAATGATGTCCGCATGTGATTATTCATTTACTGAAAAAATTCATTAATAAAATATGTATATTTTTTTAAACTGCACATTTTCATTAGTAGGAAAATAAAGGAGGTCCGTGGGGCAGAGATGGATTTTTAATCGTTTTTTATAGACTGAATATTAGAAGGGTAAGCAGGACCATTTGAGAATAGCAAAACAAGATCGAATGCAATGAACTATGATTCTATAATAAAAAGATAATAGACTTTTGTTGAGAGATTCTACATATTTGTTTTTAAATTACTTATATAGTGGGACAGTATTTAGATAACAAAATGAAGCAGCATATGAAACCTTACTGAGAAGGTGTTTTTAGTTATTCTCAAGAGAAAGTAGCATAAAGCAATTTCAGAACAATGATTCTCTAACAGGTTAATTGTATAATATATGTGGGCAAAAATTTATCTTGGAATTTAGCAGAAGTTAAAACCATAATTACTGCCACCCTGATAGTTTTCCAGTAGTCTGAAGTGCAACTCCTAATTGGACCATAGTAACAATATTTATTAATTTTATTCGAAAGAAATAGAAGTAACTAAACGACATAGATAGGGATAAGAAAGAAGAGCTGCAGAATGGGAATCATCTAACAAATGTATATAAGTAATAATTCTGAGGTAAAGACTCCAGAACTTACACTTATTTGCACTAATTAGATGCTCAATTGTATATTCTATTGATGGAATTAAAGGCTGCATCCTGTTCTTTGTAAAGATATGGTAATGTTAACAGATGTTAGAAAGATCATAGGACAAAAAAGACTGGAATAAAAATTGTAAAGAAGAAAAATGAGGAAGAATGGATGGACGATGATTTAATAGGAAATGTCCTATTCTTTTCAAATGATTCCAAGTTTTTAGTACTTTTCATTAATGAATGAACCCCTAATTTTTGATAGATGGCACATACAGATTTGGTAAGAGGTTTAAAGCTAAATCAGGCCTAGAGTTAGTGAGAAATCATGAGAATTGGAAGAAGTTCACATTGATGAGAATGCACAAATGCTACAACAGTATTCATAAAAGGTGTGAAAAGGGATTTTAGAGCATTCTGCGCCCCCCTCCTCCACCCACAGTCAAAAATTGATGTTAAATAAATATTTTCCTTTAGAAAAGATAGCAGTAATTAATAGATTTTAAAAATCCATCTTACCTTTTTGATTCTTCATTTGACTTTGGACCATCCCCTACTATGACCCCTGAGAAGTCACTGTCTCATAAACTGGTTCATCAACTGGACCAGGCCACCTTGACCCAAAAGGTTTCCAGGTCCTGCTTCCAGCCCTGGTCTGTCCATAGCAAAGGCTGGGGTAGTTGTCGTCTCTTGGAGTCATAATTTCACTAGCCCAACCATGTTATACTAACATCCATTTCTTTTCTTTGCTATAAGTTTTCTAAGTTGGCAGTTCAGAAAAATGCTGTAAGCAATGCAAGGTTCTTAGCAACCTCTCCTGCAGTGGCTTGTTAGATTAAGACATATGAATGACAATACATTTTGGGAACTTTTAGCTCATAATCATATCAAAAGAACACTATTTATTAGGGAGATTTCCAATTTTGATAAGAGTCCTTTGTTTTTGATGATACTATCAACTTTGTATTTATGACTTTGTAATAATAAGTTATGTTGATGCATTGCATTTGGGGAGTGTCAGTGGCACAGATAAATGACTGTCTCTCATATTTAACAAATATGTGGATTCTCTTAACAAAAGTCTGCTATCTTTTTATTATAAAACCATAGTTTTCTACCCTGACACTATATATGTTACCAATGTTAAACAGGAAGCATTTCAGTGGACGTAAGGTTGAGCTCAGTAGCATGTCACAACTTGTTCGGTTAAAAACTTTCCTAATTCTATAAGCCTGTGATCATTTTCTCCTAATAGCTCTCTAATTTATATATTTGCACATGAAATAATAACTCAAAATTTTATCTTTTAAGTGGTTACAATTCACACTTCGGTTCTTAGGATTTGGACATGAATTTATCTAGGACTATTTTTCTCTTAAAAATATAGTTTGTAGAAAGGGGATGCTACAGTTCATGATCATTTTTGGATTCATAGAGGTCAGAGAATATAAGTCATAATAGGGTTTGATGATGTAGTCATGGGCTTATTGTGGCCCACTCTTCAATGCGTGAGTATTCATATGACTCCCTTAGAGTAAAATTTGTGTATGTTTGATTACTATGTTTATTTTAAGAGCCTGAGTACAATTTTGCTTTATAAGAATTTCATTAAGTATACTTATTTGATTGATAGGCAATGTTGCGGTTGCATTTTTATACTATAAGAGTATTGGTCCCTTGATTTCATCATCTGACAATTTATTATTGGAACCTCAAGATTATGGTAACTCTGAAGAGGAGGAAAGAGTCATCTCTTCAGTAATTTCAGTCTCAATTAAGTCAAGCCCACCAACATTGTATGAACTTGAAAAAGTAACATTTACTTTAAGTCACATAAAGGTAAGTTGTTTTCTGGTGGTGGTTAGTTATGATTGTGCTGTATTCATAGAAGTGGACTTTTTTGTGTGTTTGTCACTTCAATTACATGTGAGTTCTTGAGTTTAAAGATACAGATTCAAAATTACAGTCGAAGAGTAAAGTGGTTTCAACTAATTTTTCTATAAAATATTTTTGTACTTTCAGTGCTCTTTAAACTTTCCAGTCACTACCAAAGAATTCACATATCTGACTCCCTGAAATTAAGATATATTTTAGTTCTATTTTTAAGTATGCTTGATTTTGGAAGTTTCTATATCTTCAGCGAATGAGTTACAAAAAAGTATCACAGTCAACGAGGTAAATATCCCTTGTCTAATAAGGGACGTGTTTGGTTAGTATTTGTCATTTAAAATAATATTTGCAGGGATTTGCGTGTTGATTAAAATACATCATATAGAAGTTTACAATATTTCATAAAGAAATTAGTAGAGACCATTTTACTCTTTTGTTTTTATTCTAAATCATTTTTCAAACATATAATTAAAGCAGTACAATAAAAAACGTGATTAGAACTAACCGAGTATTTAGTTATTTTAGTTAAAAATGAATGGGCAAAATCAAAATGATAGATTGCTTGCTACCTTTTCACAGTTGACAATTTCAGTTCTGGTGTATGGTTGACGTACCTCTGAAGCTCCATATGGAGAACCTTGAAGCTGGCCAATTATATATGCATATTTACAGTGGGTAAGGGAGACTTTCTAAACAAAAAGAATATGTATACTTGCACACAATACAAATGTGTCACTGTTAAATACAGACATTTAATATAGAAAGAAACTAAATGTATAGAAAATGCAAGTAAATAATAGCTCAGACCTAAATGATGACAAGCATAATGTTGAGAGAAAAAGATACAAAGTAAAATGTTCAAAAAAGTGGAAACTATTGGTGATTGTCATTTTTTGGATTCCACATTTAGGACTCCCTTGAAGATTTCTTGTAGGGCTGGTCTCAACTTAGATTTATTTTTCAGATGCTAAATGCAAAAGACCTTTTTAACACTAGAAACCAAATATTGTTCTTTTACATGGTCTGATGGTTTTTCCAGTTTTTATCAGTGGAATATTTTGGCAGCTGAAGAGTTGCCAGTGACAACCCACCTCACCCATCCCTGCTTGACAAAGAAAAAAAAAAGCACATTTAAACAAGAACTCTCCACAACAGAAGCTATCTCGTATATAAATCTTTAGTGTCCTGATTCCCAAATAATGTATCTTTGACTTGACCAACCAATACATACATCTACATTACCTCAGAGGAATAATAATTGTAGTTATAATAACTGATGATAATAATTATGACAGCAACCAGTATTTATATAGTACTTAGGCTGGACCAGGCAGTATTCTAAGTTATTTACTTTGAAAGAACTCATTTTGCCCTCACGAGAGCCATATGAGGTATATACTATTATCACCATTTTATACCTAAGGAAATTGAGACTCTGAGAGATTAATTAATTTGCTTATGGTCACTCAGCAATCAACTGATAGAAGAAGGTTTCAGTCACATGCAGTCTTCCTCCAGAACCCATGCTCTCAACAACTGTGATACTTTGCCCAATCTGTCCTCTGAATCCCTACCCAACCTACCTCCCAAGCCAGTGTCTCAGCTACTATATACTCAAGTTTCTGGTTTCTTACAAAAAAAAAAGGGAAAATCCTTCTCCTTTAGCCTGTATCTTCTTCAACCAAAATTCAATAATTCCTCTAATTTTCAGCTTCTAAAAAAATAGGCATTATCTACTAACTTCCATCTACGGAAGACTCAGATTTAGTTTTCTTGCATCCATCTTCCTCTTCACTCTATATACTCTTCCAACCACCCATCTTCCCATGCTTACTTCCAATTTTTGGTAAAATCAGTTTTCAATGTGTATGGTATTATTATTTGTTATGTGTTAATCACAACTGAATCACAAATCTGAATCATTTTCCAGTTGCTAATAAATTCCTCTATTTTCATTTGCTTAGATTTCTACTCATCCATTACTAACTTGTCTTCAAATCTTTGACAGTACTACATATCTCCTCTCAAAACATTTATGTATCTAGATTATCTATTGGCTAATTTCTTGTCTTGGAGACATCCTTCCCAAGCTTCTATAAACTTGATTCCTTCTGGGTGTCTACTCTTTGGCCTGCTGCTCAGCTATCAGCCAGGGCATGCCTTTCACCATCAGCCTTGACATAACCATTCACCTCTCTCATGTGTCCTATTCCATGTTTTCTTGAGCCAATGTCATCTTCTTCCTTAGTTCATTTATGTATTGTGGTGGCAAGTTCTCCAGTGGCCGCTTGAGAATAGAAGTTTGGAAGATCAATTTTGTGAACCCTTGCATTATTAGGTTTTATATAAATACATATGTATTGTGGTGGCAAGTTCTCCAGTGGCCGCTTGAGAATAGAAGTTTGGAAGATCAATTTTTTGAACCCTTGCATTATTAGGTTTTATATAAATACATATATGGGGCCGGCCCATGGCTCACTCGGTAGAGTGCAGTGCTGATAACACTAAGGCCACGGGTTCGGATCCCATATAGGGATGGCCGGTTCGCTCACTGGCTGAGCGTGGTGCTGACAACACCAAGTCAAGGGTTAAGATCCCCTTACCGGTCATCTTTTAAAAAAAAATAAAAATAAAAAAAATAAATACATATATGTATATACACACACACTATTACATATGTGTATATATGTATGTGTGTGTGTGTAAATATACATACTTACCCATACACCTTACTGCATATATTTTATAATTTTTGAACCCTTTCATTTTCAGGTTTTATATAAATGCATATATATACACCCACTATCATATATGCAATATATATACCATTTATATAACTAATACATATATACACACAATCATATACGTATGATATATACCCTTATACTTGTTAGATAAATCCCATGGTATAGACTATATATATTTATATAAACTATAAATTATTTATATAAATTATTTATATTTTATACAGCTTATAAAATATAAATATAATTAGAAAAAATATAAGTATTTTTTCTAATTATATAAACTATACATTATTTATAGTTTATAAACTGTATATATTTTTTCCCATAGAATTTTATAGACCTTGCTAAAATGTTGTGTATGTGATCTAGCCCTTGTCTATCTCTGATCGTGTCTTTACTATTTTTTATTTTTTATTTTTATTTATTTATTTATTTATTTATTTATTTTTTGTCTTTTTCCGTGTCCGGCAACAGATCGCAACCCTCAGTGTCGCCCCCATACCAGACCGGGACCGGCAACGGGATCGCAACCCTGCTCAGCCAGTGAGCGGGAACCGGTCTGTATGTGGGATCCGAACCCTCGGGCGGGAGCGCCGCTGCGCTTCCCAAGCGGCGCACTATCCAGTGCGCCACCGGGCCAGCCCACCTTTACTATTTTTTAACCACACTCATTCTGCTCTAACTTACCTGGTTTCTAGATGTTTCTGGAAGACCCCTATTCAGTCTCACTTCAGAACTTTTCCATTGCCATTCCACCTGTATGGAACCCTCTGTTCCCAAGTCTGCAGGGCTCACCCTTACTTCATTGAAGTATCTGCTTAAATGTCATCTCCTAGGAGAGGCCTCCTCAGACCACCCTCCGTACCACTTTCTTTCTTATTTCCTTGGTTTACTTTCTCATTTGATAATTTTTCATTTCCAACTAGAATTTAAGGTCAACAATGCAAATGCTTTTTTTAGCTTCTAAAAACTTTTTTTCAGTGTTGTATTTTTACCTCCTGAATCAGTATCAAATATCTAGTAAATACTTAATAAACATTTATTAAATAAAGATACATATGATAATTATGTGTCATGAACTGTTCTAAATGACCTATAAATGATCTCATTTAATAAGGAAAATTATCAGAACTTTGTGACACCGTTTTGATAAAATGCAACATTGTTGCAATTTAAATTTCAATTTTTCCACATAATAGCAGCTTTCAGTTGTTGGAATTTATTTTATGTTTCATTTATTAGGCATTATTTTAACCATAGTACTGGTATTTTAAATGTGACAAAAGTAATACTATATGTGCAGCTTTTTCTCTTCTTTTTTTTCCATCAGTAAAATGTCTCTTTTTTAGACCATAGATAAGTATAGGAGTCTATGTGCATTTTGGAACTATTCACCTGATACCATGAACGGCAGATGGTCTTCAGAGGGCTGTGAACTGATGTATTCCAATGAGACCCACACCTCATGCTGCTGTAATCACCTGACACATTTTGCAATTTTGATGTCTTCTGATCATTCCATTGTGAGACAATTTTCCACTTCATATTTATAAATATGCCTACCTATGTTCCTTTTTCTGTTTTTTCCACATGTCATTCAAGAAAATAATTAATCTTTACATGTTTTTACATGTTTCTCTTATAAATGTTATATTTAGTATGTGATAAAACCCCAAAGTTATCTCTTTATTTTTTAAGTCTTTGTTTTCCTACCCGCCTTCTAGAACATATCTAGTATGGATTATAGATTATTTCTAGCCTAGAACTTATCTACACTGAAATATCTAGTGGATTACACATTAAATGAAATATCCATCCATTGACTCTTAGTTTTTTAATGCTGCTTTCCAGAGCCATTTACCTGTTTTAATGTAGCATGGAATTTAAGGGACTTTGCCTTTGTATTGAAAGTTTATTTTTACCAATGACAAAATGCCAAAAAATATTTGACACCTGCTCAATAAGTATTAGCACATTTATAATCAATATCATGTTTTTAGCAATATAGAATCCCACAAGATTTCAAACATGAAAAATCTCCATAAGATGAATACCTTCATAATATGTATTTTTACTTTAGTAACATCTTACATTCTATAATTATTCTGTCATTTCTTATTTTACATTTCTATATCATAATCTTCATTAGATAACAGGTTTATTTCCACACATACTTAGAATCCATTATCTTTAAGTATATAAAGTAGCCAAATAAATCTACCTAAACATAGTATCAGTAATAAAGATCATTTTTTTCTGGATGTTAACTAAGAAAGAAGTCTCTATTCTGTATATAAAAATAAATATTCATCTAAATAGAATAAAACTATTTCCCATTTCAAAGTCTCTGAACTATACTATTTTGATATTCCATATTCAGCATTTCTAATACCTTTGTTTAATGTGTTTTAGATGACACACTGCATAGAAATAAGACTTGGACTTACCACTGATAAATCCATTTAAATTAACCATTTTCACATTACAATAATGAATTGCTTTTCTAATGACATGAAACTGATGACGATAACATTGTTAAACCATATACTAATAAATGCTATGCCTAGAAAAAAAAATCACTAATGGCGAAACCGTTAAAGTGGTACATGATTTATATCAGATTCATGTGGACATTGAGGATTTTCGATAACATTGTTAAACCATATACTAATAAATGCTATGCCTAGAAAAAAAAATCACTAATGGCAAAACCGTTAAAGTGGTACATGATTTATATCAGATTCATGTGGACATTGAGGATTTTAAAAAGTACAAAATTTTTCTCATCTAAATGCACATTTATATTTTTACATTTTATGGACATTCTGATTAATGTTTCACCAAAAAAGGAAGTTTATTATATGTTGTAGTTCCTTTGACAAGTTACTGAATTATTCTCTTAACAGCTTTATTATTATTGTCCCTTAGGGTATTAAAGATTATAATATTCTTACAAGAATCACTCAACTAGGAATAATTATTTCAGTGATTTGTCTTGCCCTATGCATTTTTACCTTCTGGTTCTTCAGTGAAATTCAAAGCACCAGGACAACAATTCATAAAAATCTCTGCTGTAGCCTGTTCCTTGCTGAACTTGTTTTTCTTATCGGGATCAATACAAATACTAATAAGGTATGTAGGCCCTCCTACTCTCTATTTTTATTTTCCATAGTTTTACTTTCCTATATATATGACATAGAAATATATATATATGTCATAGAAATATGAAATATAATTAAGGACTTAATGGAGCAAACATAGTTTACAATTTGTTCTTAAGCTATCCTTTCTTAGTGTGGTAATGCTAACATATATAAGCAAGCTACTTATCAAGTACATTAAGCAAAAATGCCTTTTATTATGATGAATACTGGGGCAAATTAAAACTTTGCAACAAACTTAAAAAATACTTTTTTTGGTTGGTTGGTTGTTTAGTTTTTTTAAGATAGTCATTAAACAAAGACCAAGGAGGGGTTTCCGGTCAAGATGGTGGAATGGACTATCCGCAGCATCAGTCATGCTCTCCCACAAATCAACCAATTTACAATTACTAAAAAGCAATGACAGCCAAGCTGGGGCTGCTGGAGATCAGGGGAAGAGGAGGAAAGACCCACAGAGTGCAGGAAGGCATGAGAAGCCACATGAGAGAAGGAAACATCATCACTTTTACCACTTCGAGCCCCACCGACTTCAAGGCTGGAGCTGGTGAGCACATGGAGAAGGAACTGGCAAAAGCCACAGCTGTGCCCTTCAGATGGAGTTGCTTGGAGGCTGCAGGGGACAGGAGGGCCTTGGTGGCCCCCAGGCCAGCAAGACTACTAACAGCGTTCCCATGGGCCCACATAGGAGTGAGGGGCCACGGACAACTGAAAAAAAGGAGCCATTCAGAGGCTGGTGAGTCATTGCAAGGGACCAGTGCATGGGCCATCCCATGGGAATTGTTTGGAGCATGGGCAGTGGGGGAGACGGGCCCACTGGGAAAACAGTGAGGCACAGCAAGGACAGCTGATCTGCCCCCAAGTCAACATAGGACCACTCAGTGGAGACTGTTCAGGAATACAGAACTGCAGGGGGTGCAGTTTGCTGAAAAGACTCACGCCCAGACTGGAGTTTCTACACAACCCAGGTGTACCAGACCTTGCAAAACTCAGAAGTACCTATAAAGTCAACCATTAAAACTTGAGCTGCACAGAGGACCTTCCCCAGGGAATTAGCAGCAAAGCAACAACTTAGCTCAACCACTGAGCTTGGGTGCTGGTCCCCACAGGAAGCTCCCCCGTTTTAGAAGCAAGCAAAGGACAACAAATTAGTTCCAGTGCACAGTATAAGTGGTTGGAACAGCAAATAATCCAACACAGAACTGAAAGAAAGGGTGGAATGCTCACACACCAGAGACAAAGTGTGATGTTAACTAGTCGAGGTCTCACATCACCGAAGAACACCTGTGGAACCTAGAAGGACTGGAAGTCCCCTGGGCTACTAAGCCAGGGAGTGCAGAGGGCTGGGGGCCTCAGCCATGGCACAGGAGGCACCCCAGGCTCTCACAAGCCAGGGCAGCAGGGGTCTGAGGGCCTCAGCCACACCCCACCAACACCTGCAACCAGCCTAGCAATGACCACCAAGCCCCGGCACGAGGCGCCCCAAGCTCCCAAGAAGCTCCTCTGACATCTGCACCCAGCTCAGCAATGACCAGGCCACCAGTGGAAGCCCACTGGTCTCTCATGCAAGAATGAGGGGTGTGCCACAGGCCCCAACTCCACCCCTCCTCCTTCTTCCTTCTCCCCCTGTTTTCTTCCCCTTTCGTTTCTCCCCCTCTCCCACAACTGCTCCACAACATCATAGAATATGAAAAAAAATAATTAATAAACACATTTTTTAAAAAAGACCAAGGACAAAGAGAATTGGAAAAAAGTTTATCTTAGGATAGGGACTAAACATAAAAGTAGCTAGAGTTTATAGGCTGAAATATGATAAATGGACTCTACCTACTATCTGCACCTTCTTAACTAACTAGGGGCTTAATATTTAACTGATATAATCTCAAATTTACTTGACAATGTTACAACTTAAAGTGATTCTATATTTTTTCTTTTTAATATCCATTTAATAATATCATTTGTCGGGCCGGCCCGGTGGCGCACTGCTACAGTGCGCCGCTTGGGAGCGCGGCGGCGCTCCCGCCGCGGGTTCGGATCC